CGCCCTTGGCCGACAATAAGCAAACTCTTTCTTTGTGGCAATGTAGTGTAGGACGAAACGTCCTCGGCAATCATGTTTTTCGAAACCAGAGTTTCATTTGACCGAAGAACATTGGTATAGAAAAACAGGATAACAAAGAGTGTTAGAACGATAAGAACCATACGCCAATCACAGGTGTCTAACCGCTTTAGCATACTGCGGCAAATTCTAATCGCATGCATCACAATTTCGAAATGTTCAACGGATTTATCAGTGGTTCAAAACAACCTTTGAGGACCTACTAAAGCTAGTACGATACGATAAAAGAGTTGACAAAGAAACACTAAAATTACTTCCGAAGCTCAATATGTAGGAAATATGTTTTAAAATTCATCTCAATTAAATTAAGATAACACAGAACCGTCAAAGAAACTATGGCGAGGGAGTCACAGCTAAAATAATTCATATTTTAATGGCCAAAAAATATAATATATTTTTTTATTTTTGATATTTCAACTAGGTCTAATTTAATTGCTTTAGTACGCTTTTTTATATCAACTTTGGAAACTAGGCACTCTCACACCACTTTTTTTACTCATGATTTAAACTCACTTTGTTCAAAAAAAGTATATGGGCTGACACTCCTAGTAAGTAAAAGGTGGACAAGTGGTTTTGACAAGATGTCAGTTCAATACTGACCTTGTCACCATAAATGGACAAATCACTTCGCTAAGGGGAAGGTACTTGAAGCGTTCCATATTTCCCTAGTCTAAAAACAAAAACTCCAAACGTAGAGAAGAGATTCTTTTTCGAATAGCTGACTTTGGTAGAGCGCAAAACGGAATCTACCCGATTCTGCCTCGTACCCAGCAGTCTCTCTCTCTCTCTCTCGATAAAATGTGCTCGCAAAGGAAGGCGGGAAGGAGAAAACGGGCGAGATGCGTTTCGCCTCTCATTTTCCCCCCTCCCATGATCCCTTGCGCTTTGTCACCAGTCACAAAGTGCCTGAGGAGGAGGTAATGGTGACGCACGTCAACCGGAAGTGAAGCATTTTCCCTTTTAATATGCCATGACGCTACCAAATTTCTATTGTCTTTTCAAACCACACCCTAAGATTGCAAAAAGGCCACTTCCGGTTCAAGTGCAAGTCTTAAAATACTTTGTTGCTTAAGCTACCTAATGATCAGTGAGCAGACACCTATCCCTTGCAGCCCACCCCTAATCACGAGGGTGTACCCTTCCGAGCGGTGTGCTCCTGGAGCATTCGGATTAGGGTGTGCAAGAGCAGGGGGTGGGATGGAAGGAGAGGGCACGCATGCTTTCATAAAGCCTCACCTTATTTCAGACCCAAATACTTTTTTAAAGCTGAGCCGCTGTTTTCAAGAGAGGAATTGTTTCCAGAATGCGCGACCCTCCCATATAAAAGTGTCGGGGATGCCGGTCGGAGAACTAGAATTAACCCCTAAAAGAGACCAATCTGGCCGTGGCTTAGCCCTTAGGTTTTATTTGACCCATAAAGGAGGCCATAGTCCAACAAAGCATGACTGCATTTGCCTCTTGCGGATATTTCTCGACGCACAACCCTAAGTGACACTCTATGGCCAAGGATAATAGCTTTCTGTCCAGAACATCCTGAGCGAGACCAAAATCCGCAATTTCTATCCTTAAGAGAGACGATGAGCATCCCCGTCACTTTAATATGGGAATACCCCCTCGGAGAAACACCATACCCTGTTTACCAAACCAGTTCATCACCTGACTCTCTACCTAATTTCAGACCAAAAGAACGTCGGAAACCCAGCCTACTAAGGGAGGGTCCCCGGGGGAGTCTGCTAAAGGCATGCTGTGGCTGATTACTGTAATCGGCTCCTGCGGAATGTTAAGCTTCGGTCCGTCCGGTGAGGTTAAACGAAACCATCATTCTCGTCCAACATCATGGTTATCACATACAACATAGAGCGGTTTAACAAGCAAACAATGTCTGATACAATTCGAACAGAATGAGTCCACATGAATTGTGTGCAATACCCGGCTGAAATGATGGCTTGATCGCTTGCTTATACGAAAATGGTGTTGGATCAAACACTGGACACGAGCCTATATGAAGCTGAATGAAAGAGATGATGTTACGGTCAAACATGCTCATGAGTTTGATTGTTTAGCCCAGGCTTTAGACGATATGCCAACTTGCATTGCTCTGCAAGAAGTGTGATGAACAATGAACATTTAATCAAAGAGAACCTGATTACGCAATTAAGCTTAGTTTTGTTTTGATTTAAATAAGATACGTTTCTGTTCTGTTTCATTTATCGAGTTTTTACGCCCCTATTTTCATGTGCTATTGTTCACAGTTTGAATCAATTACGTAGCTCACCATTCCTGTTTTCTAACCGGTTTTACAACTGTACACGTGAATTGTACCCTTATCAGAGAACGCCCCTTTAGTTTTTGTGGAGATGGAGTTAGGAGATCTACGGAGCAACATCGGAGTTTTCACAGCAGTTTTATCTTTTTCGGAGTTACGTAACGTCGGAGTTTCTCTAGCCCTTAAGACAGGATCAGACGTAAGTTTCAGCTTATTGTATTAAGTTTTCGTTTTCTTTTCAATTTTGCTTCTTTTGTTATTAGTCTTAGCCCCTTTTTTGATCTTGTACATTGTAATTTCCCCTTTTAGTTTTCACCGCATGTGTACAATAATTCAGACGAGTTGGTGATCGTATTAAATGCTGTTGAGTCAACTTGTGCTGTTAAATTCTATACTGTGGTTGACACTTCCCGATCTCCAGTGCACAACATCCCGTGTCCGCTGCACTGGGTACGCGACAAGAAGTATCACGGATTTTCTTTAACTTTTATTAATTGGTAAGAAAAATTCAACTTGTTTGTCAAAAATATCCAGACAAAACAACTTATGCTAACAAAAAGCGATTCAGCCGCCATTGTTTTGGTTTTCAAAGCCGGCGCTTTTCGCTACTAGTGGGCCAGGCATGCTAGTGGGCTATAACATATAGCCTATTTGTAGCTCAACCAATCAGAGCGCAGCATTGATAATAAACCACTAGTTGGATTTTAAGTATTTACGTTCGAGGTACGAGAACGCAACCCCTAATTTGTATTGGGTGCTCTGTGCATTATTAGGTGTCCTGTGCAATTAATAAGGGAGGTTTTTCGAGATTGCATCTTCGTCTTCGTCGTCGTCGACACACATTTGCCTCGCTTTGAGGCGCTTGCTTACGTTTTGCCTCACTTTGACGCGCTAACTCACTTTGTAATTCGTGTGTCCTCGGCATTCACCTTTCAAACGTTTGCTGAGGTCTGCTATTCTGTCTTCGTAAATCGTTCATCTTTTAAAAGTGTGCTGAATTTTCGTAAAGCGTACATATTCAAGAGTTTGCTAAGGGTCTACCATCGATCTGTGTTTAATGAATCTTCCAAAGCGTTCATCTTTTAAAAGTGTGCTGAAAGTTTACACCCTGAGTAAAATTTTACTTTGGATTCCTGAAGCCTTCATATTTTTCTTTGGAAAATACGTGCTTCTCCTGGTGCATGCAGCAAACCGGGTTGTTTAGCTCGGCGTCCGTTGTGCCAAAAAGTGAATTTACCGGAGAGTTGTGAAGTTCAGCGTCTGTTGTGCCACGAAGTAAATCTACTGAGTTGTGTAGCTAGGCGGCCTTAGTGCCACAGAGTAAATCTACCGAGTTGTGTAGCCACAAAGTAAATTTACCGTCGAGTTGTCAAGCTCAGCGTCTGTTGTGCCACAAAGTATTTAAATCTACGGAAATGTGAAGCTCGGCGGCGGCCGTTATTACACAAAGTAAATCTACCAAGATGTGAAGCTCGGCGGCACTATTTCATCATGACCACCGCCGTAGCCAGTATGAGGCGAACCGAGGCACTCGCCTCGGTAAAATTTTACCAAATACTGTCGATTTTTATTTTTTCTATCAGACTGATAATATTAGAAGATTTCATACGGCTGATTTCGTACAACGGACCGTGTGTTCGCCTCGGTTGTAGTTTCTTCCTGGCTACAGCCCTGATGACGTGATATTTTCGGCACTGGACAAACGAACATTTTGGCTAGGCAGATACAAAAGTCTGGACCGCCAGTCCGGGTCGGATCAACTGGGATCGACTCATATCGAATAAAAAAATAAAAATAAAATAAAATTGGACTCGGATCAACTCGGATCATAAAAAGAAAAATAAAATCAGTCGGCGTCACTTACCTTTCACACGCCATTTTGTCTTTTTTTCACGAACTCGTGGTTGCGTAAATTAATTTTATTTTTATAATTTTAATGATACACTAGTGAGCAGCACACATACACTTCCAGTGAACATTTTTAACTTGGAAGGGGGAGAAACCATGCTCGCCCCGGGCGAGAATCGAACTCGCGACCCGGCTTCATTTTGCCCACAAGTTGATGATTGGACGCCTTTAAAACTAGCTGAGAAAATTATCCAAAGAAATGCTTTTTAACAAAAGAAAAAGAAACCTGGGTTAAGCGCTAATCGGCCTTCGAACAACTGCACCCAGTAGAACATCTATTGCGCCAGTAAAACAAAAACTTCTTTTTACACACGCCCGAAGCACTCTGGCCCACAGTGTCTCCTCAAATAACAAACACTTGACACGAACCATACGATATCACGCTGATCTCTAGCCATCAAAACCTTTTCATTATGATACACAGTTTAAATCGAGGTTTCGCTGTACGCAACCCTTACGTTCGAAATATGCCATAATCATAGTTATCTATCGCAAGATCCATCCACCGTTTCCCCTCCACTGGTACCTGTACGCCTAGCAAACACATCGAAATCTCTCTACTAAGCTCCGATTACTCCTAGTATACCGATAACCTGCTGCAATCTTAACGTTAATATTGTAAAATTTTTCTGTTGGCGTCGTGGTTTAACACTGCATTATTTCCGAATTATTGATACCACTTACAACATAACAATGTCATTCAAAATTGTGACTATTACTATAAAATCAAGAGCTATTCGACTAGAATTCATTCCTTATCTAATGAGTATTCCTGATCAAAGCTTATCTTGTCTAATAGTTTAAGCAAAGGTTGGCAGTTTTTTTCTATGATTAATGTCCTTTCAGGAGGAGATTCGCTGCGCCATTTATCGATATTCGCTTCAGCATCTCTCACAAGGGAATATGGCCTACTTTTAAACTTCCTTGCATCCGTTTTGCCAGGATTTGTCATGTTTTTAATCCACTCTAAAGTGTTCTCAGAAAGATTCAAACCGGCGAACTTGAAGATTTCTCTTGCTGTGTCAAGCGGTCGAGCTGCGATGTCTCGATACAAAATAAGTTTGTATCTGTGTTTAAGAACCTCATCCAGTGTTTTGCCAAACTCGATGTTGTCAGTGATGGGTTTACAAAAATTTCGAACATTTTCCTCAAAGTTTGTATTATTGAACTCGGGAAACCACCTCAGTTTAATTCTGGAATTTAAACTCGCTCTTGGGTCGCGAACAACATGCAATATCCGAATATCAGCATCCATTGCCAGGTCGGAGATCAGTGGGAGAAGACTCAACAATCTGCCATCTGGTAATCTTTCAGAAAGTGCTTTAACGACTGTGCTGTCATACTTCTGTTTGCTCTTTTTGATAAAATATTCAGCCAAAGCATCTGCTGGAAAGCACCATGTTGGTTTTGTCTTGAATATGATACAGGCCTTGTTTTTAAGGCGTTCGATATGATAGCTTGTCTCTTTTAAATACCAAAATGGAGGATAATAATCCTTTTCCCATAAGGCGCTTGGTGTAAACTTCAAGGTAAGAAATGCTTGTAAAACCTCTATTTTTTGCGCGTCCGAAAGATTGTGAAATCGCAAAGGCTCAAAAACTTCGAAAACCTGTAGAAAACGAAAATAAAACCTTCGTTGTATTAACCAAAAATCGCCACTTTGTACACAAGTCAAATTTTACTTCTCAACATCCATCACTTTTAGCACCGCACAAAAGGGTGCAACATTGTTGGCCAACTCCCAACATTGCTGAATGATACATGTTGCGTCCGTTTGCACATCCTGTTGCATGTTGTTGCACAAAGTTTGAAACCGGTCAAACTTTTAAACCAACAACTCCCAACAATTCTTTTGTTCCGTGATCGCCGAAGGATCCGTTTGCACAGCTCTTCCGACATTGCTGAGGCCAAGCACGCACATCTAGACTACGAGTAATACCCCATTCTACCTCACTGTCACGTGACCTGAGATTCCATGATGTTTAGATGTAATAATGATCGCCTTTCTCTGGTTTAGTATTAGAAATATGGTCTTCCACTGTATATTTCTCGGGAAAAAGGCGATCATTATTACATTCAAACACGGCACAAGGATCTTTTTTCCCATTACAATCTTATTCTAAGAAAACTTTAAGAAAAAATGTCCCGAAAAGCGCTCGAAAATACTGACGAAATGTGCTCATGCCCCCTGGGTACCTATAATACTCCTTAAATCGAATTAATTCAATATGGCCGCCGTATCGGTAAAAAGGTCTATTTTCAACTGCAATGAAAACCCTCTCGCGTCGGATGCTCCGAGTTCGAATCCTACTCATTCTATCCTGAATTGTTTTTTTCCTTAAAAATGGAAGACACTTTGACTTTTATGAACATTTCATCAAGAAATTTCATATAAGAAAAGTGAAATGTCTTGTGAGAGGAGGATGTCAGTTTGGTGGATGGAATCAAGTGACGACCGCGCATCACTCTAACCCCTACACCACCGAGGATTTGGTGACGAATACCAGTTTGATTTAAATATATAACCCTAACCCTAACCCTAACCCTAACCCAAACTATAACCCTACTTTGTGTACGAATCATTAATGTGTCAACGTCAGTTTGGCGGATGGAATTAAGTGTAGGCCCCCTCTCGCACGATAATATATTCAAGACCTCTGACTTTCCTACCTTATGCTCACGAGCAGTATGCCACTTGGAAATAATAGTTATTATTTACATATGGAAATCTATTTACTATCAAATTTATGGCATAATTTGCCCTTGTTTTGTTAGGGGCCTTATAAGCCTTTTCTGACGATTCTATCAGTCATTAACAAAACCTTTTTGCTCCTATTAGTCCTATAACAATGTGTATAAACATAATTAAACACTTAGTTTGCAAAACGTGTCTTGTCTACTATTTCATTTTCAGTTAAGTAATTTTTCTTTTTTTTTTTTAACGATGTTCTTCGTAGACAAATTATTTAAAAGTCAAAGTATAGAGGCGTCCCAAGTGGCATACTGCTCGTGAGCATGTGATAGGAAAGTCAGAGCTTGAATATATTATCGTGCGAGAGGGTTTTCATTGCAGTTGAAAATTGGATGGCGAGGTGTTCTCGTACTAGCGGGCTTATTTCGCCTCAGAACGAGAACCTTTGAAGCTAAAAACTGCCAAGCGGTTTCTGCAGATGCTATGTTTTGTTTTCTTAATATTTTTGTCGAAAATGAACGGACAAATGCAGAGTAAGTGGGATAAATAGAATATATTTAATTTCTACGCGCATGTAGCAGAAAGTTGGTTGTATTAAAGCGCTAACTGTGTTCGCCGTAGTTGTCCGACTGCTCATTTTCTTCCAATAATGCTTTGGGTAAGAACAACGTTTCAGTTAAGAGGTAGTTTGTCAGCTCTCTTCCGCTATTTGTGCGTTTACGTTCACAAATGTGTTAGCCTATCATTTTAGCATGTTAAATTTGACCAACATTTTGCGGAGCGATTTCTACGGTCACGATTGCCTTCAAACTTGCAGACATAAAACTAGAAAGCTCTGAGGCTTATTTGAAGAAGTTAGGGAAAAATCTGTCGTGGGATTTCGAAGTTATTTTCATTTTTCGTAAAAATGAGGTTTTAAATATATGCCGATATCTCAAAAGTTTTTATAGCTATAAGAAAACAAATAACATTTTCTTAAAGTTCCATCATTATTTATTAAGGATGCAAAATATCTTAGAAATCGGTTGAATCTTTCATTCTGAAAAACGCGAATCAAAAACGTAATCAACACGCATTTTAATAGAAACGGGCCACCTTAAAAACAATCAGCTACTGTCAGAACTCACACATGCGCATTATCGTGAACCAGTCCCTTTTTTTGAGCAAAAATGTAAACAATGACGTCACCGACACGATGAATCCGCCTATAGCCTGTTTCAAGAATTATATGTAAGTTGGAACATAGAAGCTGATCTAGAAAGATTAACGTGTTAGGTAGGGAAATTCAAGCTTTCTAACTTTTTAGCAGTTAAAGCGACGGTTGGGAGGAATTTTTATAGCAACCAAAAATAAAATCATACATGTACTAAAACGAGCGGAAATTAGTTGGAGCAATGTCCAAAAAGTTTAATTGGAATGTATTTTTTCCTACTTTCTCTGCTTAAAAATATATACCACACAATCTCAGTCGTACAGCCACGGTTTTCTGAATTGGTTCACGTTTGATAACACATAACCATTCTAAGCTTCTTTGCATAACTATCATCTTTCACGTTGGTCTCTGCACTGTAATGTTAGACTATAACCCCATTTACACGCGCTAAAAAGAAAAATCGGCACGGCACGCCAAATTTTTGGCACCGTGGCTCGTTTACCCGTGCCGAGACTACCTCCGAGAGGTAGTCTCGGCACCCCTAAAATTTTCAGCACTGGTGCCACATTACATTTAGGACCGATACGTTTACACGTCGAAAATTGGGAGTGCCGTGCCTTAAAATCGTCAGCACGGTGCCAAAAATTTGGCGTGCCGTGCCGATTTTTTTAGCGCGTGTATTTATAAATAGGTTTTTTAAGATACAATTTGCAAAACCTTTTGGGTGCTCATTAGACATCATTTTTACTCACCCGTTCTCCCATTCCCAACATCATCGACACAAAACTTGTCCCCGAACGCCCTTGGCCGACAATCAGCAAACTCTTTCTTTGTGGCAATGTAGTGTAGGACGAAACGTCCTCGGCAATCATGTTTTTCGAAACCAGAGTCTCAGTTGACGGAAGAACATTGGTATAGAAAAACAGAGTGACCAAGAGTGTTAGAACGATAAGAATCACAAAGTAATGACGAATGTCTAACCTCTTTAGCATACTTCGGCAAATTCTAATCGCATGTATCACAATTTCGAAATGGTCACCGGATTTATCTGTGGTTCAAAACGACCTTTGAGGACCTAGTACAGCCAGTACGAAACGATAAAAGAGTTGACAAAGAAACACTAAAATTACTTTCGAAGCTCAATATACAGGAAATATGTTTTAAAATTCATCTCCATTAAAATTAATATAACACAGAACCGACAAAGAAACTATGGCGAGGGAGTCACAGCTAAAAGAATTCATATTTTAATGGCCGAATTTATACTTGAGACGTGTTATCGGTCTAAAACGATTATCCGTAAGACGGATAATTCGTGTAAGTGTAAATCCGAAGACGAATTTTGCTCCATAATTTGTCTAGATATTTTAAGCGGGAAACGAACGCGGAAAAAGGAAACATCACGAAATATAGAAACCAGTCCCTCTCATGTGAAACTTTCGTTTCGTTTCTAATATAAATTCGACCAATATTAATGTATTGTTAAGTAAAAAGCAAATTAGTTCGAGAAAAATTTGTTATTCAAATGGCTGAAAAATACGTTAAAATAAAGAGAACAAACTCATCGAGTCGAAACAAGTGGAAGGATTGATACGATATTTAAATAACTATCAGAAAAAATCACCTAGAAAATTGTCTGCGAATTATTTTTGTGCTTGCGCTAATTTTGTCAGCTTTATTTTCGTCGAAAACACCTGAACAAATAAAATACTAATTAAGATTGATATTCAGTGGCCTCTGTTGCCATGGTTTCAAAGCTCGGCACAAGTATTGAGAAAGGTCGACCACTGATCTCTAGGGATAAGACGAAGCACAATCAAATTTGTCTCTGATCTTCATCCATTCGATACCGCATATCCACCTCCTCAAAAACTGGGCGGTTGTATATTAATCTAATCAACCTCGCTCCCTCGTTCGTCTTTTCGTCCTATATTTACTGGTTTCAAAGCGAGGGAGACTGGTTGCGAGTCTGTGTGTTGTAGGATTATCAACACAAGAGCCATCTATTCAGAAAGAGCTTACCGAGTTGCAGAAAATCCCCGCGTTTGAGGTGTTTATGGGAAAAAATATTAAACTCAATAAAGCTATTGAAACTCTCCAAAATTTACCGAGAAAACAATAGACATCTGCACAAGTGTCCAGCAATCGACTCATTTCTTTGAACAGCAGTATTTTAACACCAAACGTGGGGATTCTGTAAAACCACAGGCCCGGGGGGACCACAGGGCGCCCACACAATATATGTGTGTAACCGATTGTCATTTTATACTAAATGTAGTGGATTTACGGTTTGCCTATAATGTTACATAAACGTTGAATTACCTTAACTGTGGTATATAGTCATCCTTTTGCGTCAAAAGCGATTTTTTGAGCGATTTTGAAGGATTTCGAGTTCCCCGTTTACTGTTTGTAATAAGGATTCAACGCCGGAGCGATTTTCCCCCAGAAACTGTACTTTTAAACTTCGCAGCAAAAAGGTCCAAAGATTCACTCTTTTTCTCGTATCTTCCGATCGATAATCCATTCAAAAGGCCCGGAGCTAGCCCTCGACGAAAATTAAAATCCCACAGTTTTTGAACGGTAAAAATGCGTAGCAAGATTCATACGTGCCAGTCAGAAACCGTCCCGCTGATTGCCTCTTTTTTTAAAATTGGTATCGTTAACTAAATGGTTAAATAATAACTGATAAAAAGAAGACTTGGTTAGCGTTTATTGTTTAACGACATCCAATAAAAAAAGGTCCCCGGAGTGGAGTTTTTTTGAAAACGCCGGCTGATCGTTTTCATGTGAAAGGACGAAAATGTTGCAGCAGATTACCGTAATCGGCTCCTGCGGAAGGTTAAGCTTCCCCTCCGCTTAGGCTAACGATCAAACATTCTCGTCCAACATCATGGTTATTACACACAACATGAAGCGGCTTGACAAGCAAACAATGTTTGACCAAATTTAAGCAGAATAAGTCCACACTGATGAATTGTGCAATGCCGCTGAAATGATTGCTTGATCGATTGCTTGATCGATTGCTTTTTCCGGGCGCTACGTTTGCTTTGCCAGTGGAGGTAGCTATTACGAAAAAAATGTTGGACCAAACACTGGAAACGAACCTATATAAAGTCGAATGAAAGAGATGTGTAACGGTCAAACATGCTCATGAGTTCTATTGTTTAGCCCAGGCTTTAAACAATATGCCACCTTGCAACTGTTCTGCAAGACGTGTCACGGATTTTCTTTAACTTTTATTAATTGGTACGAAAAACGTTCAAAATGTTTATTTACCCGATCATTCCTCGAGATACTTTGGGTACCAGAGGCTTTTTCTCGCGTACGTCGGGGAGCTTCGTTTTGTCGGCCGCAGGCCGACACGCGTTCGGCCGAAGGGCGAAGACAAGAGCGGCGAAGCCGCGAGAAAATAACGAAACCGGAATTCGAAACCGCGCATGAAAAGCCTCTGGCACCCAGGGTATCCTCGAGCCCAAATGGGCTCTGAGTCAATAGCCGCAGGTCTCATGGGGTATTGACTCAGAGGCCATGAGGGCGACAGGAATAATAATTTTAGTAAAATCCAACTTGTTGATCAAAATTATCGAGAGAAAACAACTTAAGCTAGCAAAAGGCGATTCAGCCGCCATTATTTTGGTTTTCAAAGCCGGCGCTTTTCATTACTAGTGGGCTATAACATATAGGCTAGTAGTAGCTTAACCAATCAGAACGCAGCATTGATAATAGACTACTAGTTGGATTATGCTAATTAAAAGAGCATTATGCCGATATCCAGTTGCAATCTTAACGTTCATATTGTAGTATTTTTCGGGTGGTGTCGTGGTTTAACGCTACATTCATTGATTCATTGATTCCACTCACAACATAACAATGTCATTCAAAATTGTGACTATTACTATAAAACCAAAAGCTATTCGACTAGAATTCACTCCTTATCTAATAAATATTCCCGATCAAAGCTTATCTTGTCTAACAGTTTAAGCAAAGGCTGGCAGTTTTTTTCTATAATTAATGTCCTTTCAGGAGGAGATTCGCTGCGCCATTTTTCGATATTCGCTTCAGCATCTCTCACAAGGGAATATGGTCTTTTAAACTCCTTTGCATCCGTTTCGCCAGGATTTGTCATGTTTTTAATCCACTCTAAAGTGTTCTCAGAAAGATTCAAACCGGCGAACTTGAAGATTTCTCTTGCTGTGTCAAGCGGTCGAGCTGCGATCTCTCGATACAAAATAAGTTTGTATCTGTGTTTAAGAGCCTCATCCAGTGTTTCGCCAAACTCGATGTTGTCAATGATGGCTTTACAATAATATCGAACTTTTTCCGCAAAGTTTGGATCATTGAACTCGGGAAACCACCTCAGTTTAATTCTGGAATTTATACTCGCTCTTGGGTCGCGAACAACATGCAATATCCGAATATCAGCATCCAATGCTAGATCGGAGATCAGTGGGAGAAGACTTAACAATCTGCCATCTGGTAATCGGTTAGTAAGTTCTTTAACGACTGTACTGTCATACTTCTGTTTGCTCTTTTTGATAAAATAATCAGCCAAAGCATCTGCTGGAAAGCACCTTGTTGGTTTTGTCTTGAATATGATACATGCCTTGTTTTTAAGGCGTTCGATATGATAGCTTGTCTCTTTTAAATACCAAAATGGAGGATAATAATCCTTTTCCCATAAGGCGCTTGGTGTAAACTTCAAGGTGAGAAATGCTTGTAAAACCTCCATTTTTTGCGCGTCCGAAAGATTGTGAAATCGCAAAGGCTCATAAACCTCGAAAACCTGTAGAAAACGAAAAAAAAAAACCTTCGTTGTATTAACTAAAAATCGCCACTTTGTACATGAGTCAATTTTTACTTCACTACATTCAACATTGTTGGGAGTTGTTGCGTCCGTAGCGACGAGAAGGAAACTGAGAACTGGAGCCGAAATGCGTCCCGCAATTGCTTCTGGGATCGTGACTGGGTACGCGCCGGTCAGGTATTGGCCAATTTATTTCCCTGTCCCTGGTAACCGTCCTTGCGAAAGTAAACTCTGTCCAGGTTTCTCCTCGTTTCTAAAGTGGCGCGCGAATTAGAGACAGCATTCAGTAGAAATCACTATAGCTCTTATGTGGTTGTTTGTTTTAATTAATTCCACGCTAAAAATAAATATTCAGCGGTTTAATTCTAATTTTCAGACAAATATGTCCGCCAAACGCCAGGCATACGGAAGTCATCCCTCTCCCCCCCCCCTCCCCTCCCCGCTCGACTTTGCGGCCATGCAGTAGAAACTCGCACAACTCATCAACAGTTTTTTAAAAGTGCTGTTGAGTTTAAAAAAAATCTTCACCCTATAGGCGAACCCTTAATTACATTTTTTGCCTCATTAGCATAGGCTTATCCAGTTATCTGATGAAGCTAAAAATTGAAATTCCTAAATAAAAGAAAAAGAATAACAATTTCAGTTATCCCTGAAAATTTGAGCCCGATATACCAAATACAGTCGAAACCTCTCGGTACGGACACCTCTCTATTACGAACAGTTTCCAATGTCCCAACAAAATTCTCATCTATTTTCTTTAAAAAACAATCTCTATAATACGTATTCTCTCTATATACGGACAACGGACACTATAAATCTCGGCCCCAGAGAGTAAATTCATACAAACTTAACCTCTTTGTTACGGACACTGCGGTGATCAGGTGAATCCCGATCAGATGAATCTGCATACGGTGAATACCGTCTAGTCTGGCTGATGAGCCATGCAAGGTGATATAAAAGCCCTGTCGCTGTATACCAACAATGATTTTCGAAAGGTGTACAGAGGAACATAACCGACTTTTTGAAGGCTTCAATAACTACAGACAGCAGAAAGATCTTTTCTATTACATCGATATTACATTTTGTTCTCTAGTTACTGTTTACTACACTTGCAAAATAGCGAAAGACGCTTTCAGAATTGTACTTTACGTTACAACTTTTCAGGGGCGGATCCAGGATTTTTTTTAA